AGCCATAGAATTTAAATATCAGATGATTTCTTCCAGTTTTGACCAAGTATCAACTGTATTTATATGATTTTTGGACAGGCTGCTAATATAACACTTAACGCCATAATGAAATGTTTCAAAGCGCAAATTGTTATAAATTTTCAACATAAAGAGAGGAATACCATCAATAGATTTTGATAATTGAACAGTAAAATATTTTCATCCAAAAATGCTACAACTGGACATATAAAGTCTTTTTTGTTGTTAAGTAGACTTTCTTTCAAATTTGTATAATTTTATCTAATTCTAAAAAAAAAGCATTAAGTTCATCAGCAATTTGATTTCTAACAGTACTTTTTTTTTTTTTATATATCCCTTTGAACAGCTGAGGGTGTTGGTATTTGACTACTTGGCACACCTGGCCATACAGATGGTGGATTTTTTGGACGTATTTTTCCATTAACTTTTATGGTATCAAAATTTGAAGGCCAATTCCAGCAAAGATTTTTACTTTAAAACTTTATATTAAATTTAAAAACATTCATAAGTAGCCTTTCCTTTAGTTTGGTTATTTTAATACGCTTTTAAAAATAGGAATAACTTTTTGTTTACCTTAAAGCAGAACAATTTAAAAGTAAAGTTAAAATAATGCATTTTTTTGTCCTTTAACAACAATATCAGAAAAATATTAAAATAAATATGATTATATAAATAATGGTATACTTGTCTTGTAAAATAAATTTTGTAGTCAAAAGGCGTAAAAAAGGAGACCTTTCTAAAAAAAAAAAAAAAAAAAAAATTAAAATATTGACATTAACTGCATGTAATAAATTTATTATTGTCATTTTTTCTTTAATTCTAATAAGTAAAAAAATACTTACAGTTCACCAATTGGTAATTAATGTAGTAAAAATAATTATTTATTCTTTAACTTCGGAAACAAAAGCGCGAAGAAATTCGTTTGCTTTTTTTTTTTTACTTTTAACTTTTAACGGAAATGTTGGATAAAGTTTTAATAGAGAAATGTTAATGAACCTTTCTCTATTAAAATTTTATTCAAATTTATTATTCAAACTTAAACTTTTAATAGAAAAATGTTGACTTATGCTAATTTTTTATCATGGTTAACCGTTAAAAACTTGAGAAAATTAAACTTTAATTTCGTTGACGTTGTTTTCACTCATACAACTAACAATGTTTTTTTTTTAGCAATATCAAAAATAAATATCAAATTAAGTAATGACATTGAATTTATGAAAAAAAACAAAACATTTTTAATTCATTTTATAATAAAAATAGTTTTCTTTACGTCTTTGAAGAAACTAAAAATTAAATTCTGTTCAAATTTGTTAGTTAACGTTGTTTTGTTTTGCTTCTTAAAATAACACAAATTACTCAAAAAAAGAATTGCATTTTATCAATAAATAATTCTTTAAACTTTAATCAAAAAATGTTGAACAAACTTTAGGGAAAATGACAAAAATGAATTAAACTTTAATTTAAAAATGTTAAGGCTTTTTAAACTTAAGTAAATCTTTTTGTGCGAGTAAATTTAAGCACCAAAGTTTACTTTTTACAATAAATAATGTATGGACTCAAACTAAAATAATCAAATATACTTACTTCAAATAAATAAGTTAAATGATATTCCAACCAAAGGTAAAATTAAAAGATTTCTCTGAATTTCTCGAGCCAACAACATAAGAGTACACAGTACGCAGCAGTTCGCTCAAACTAAAACGATCTAATTGTCAGTCAATCGCGGTAGTGGCGTTACGCAGAGGCCTGTTAATATAGAACGCCATGGTTCCCCACCAACAAAAGTAAAAAACTATTTTCAACTTCTTTTTCTTTGTTTTTGAATGTCCTCCTACCACTAATGAAATGTTTTAGCAATCAAAACAGTTGGAAATCTGTAAGTAATAAATCTGGTGAGCATGGAGGATGCAGAAAGACTTCTGACGATCATGGACTTTTGTACCTGCAGTAAGATGGAGTGACAGAATGACGATTTTTCCTATGATACCACTTTTTTTTAACTACCTTCACTTTGGCAATGTTTATTGTTTTAAAAACAATGATTAGAATTATAATAAAACCTAAACGTATGAAAATGAATTTATATACTTTCTTTGTTCTTGAGAATTGATAACAAAAATAATAAACATGGGCAATGCTTGCTGAGCAAGTAGCGAAGAACCAAGGGGAGGAACGCAATTTGACCTTAAATTTCCTTGAGGGGATGAAAGCGTCGATTCCAGCTTTAAACCAGGAGGAGACCTCAGAAGCACATTCTTGAACGGGGGAGCGTAAAGACAACATTCCAGGGGACATTGTGGATGAAATCACGGAACAATTCCCAGTCAGCTTGTCGATATCAGAACAAGGTTCTAGTGGTAGGAGGTTCTTTGCAGGGGTGGAGTTGAAGGAGATGTTGACAGACACTACAGCATGATCAGGGTTACCAAGAGGGCAGAGCTGCATGGTGCTACAAGCCTCGGGGATGGAGGTAAAACATAGATTGAGAAGAGAGGCCTTACCACCCTGGTTGTAGGCAAAATGCATGGGGAAATCAACTATCTGCATGAGGGATTGAGAAACTGAAAAATTAAGTGTTTGAATGCCTGTGGGCATTAAAATCACCAAACACTAATATGTGAGCAAACGGGTGGAGAGAAAGAGCTTTGTCTATGCTGTCAGAAATGCTATCGATTATTCCACAGTCTTGAGAGGATGGAGAGCGATAAAAGAAGAAGAGATAGCTTACAGCATTGAGAAGAGATAGCCAGAGACACATGTACGAATAGTCTGGTGATTCGAGAGACAACTCTCTAGCCAGTGGGAGATGGTCCTTGGCGTAAACACCAAGGCCATGCATGTGGGTTTGAGAGTCTTTTATAAGGAGAGGAAGGTAGCCAGGGATCGAGAGATCAGAGGAGGGGATAGACGAGTCAAGGTTGGTCTCACACAGAGCCACTATATCCAGGCAGTTTGCAGTGAGGAAAGATTCCACACTGCAGAAATTGGTTCTAATGGATGAGAATGAAATGTTGAAGGGTTTAGGTGATTTTTGAAGGGCTGGTTTAGGTTTACTTTTTTGATCATTGTTAGTCACCATGTGGAATTATGGTTGGAAGATGAGAATGCCTGAAGTAAAAGAAGCAGACGGTTATCGACCGTGACGTGGGCAGAGAGAAGTTGGCACAGCCTGCATCATAATCTAGCCTCAGGGTTACCCACTGGAGGTGACTGCAGGGACACCTTTCCATGCGCAACATGGCACTACAGACACCCTAGTATTATACAACTGTTGATCAGAGTGGCCGCTCAAGACGCTACGCAAGAGTTAAGGATCGTAACTACCAGTCGGAAACAGCAACCAGGAAACTGTCAGCCGTGTACCATCAGAATGAAGAGGTAATGCCACAGACTGCATACATCATGAGAAAAACACGGCAGCATTGGACAGAGGCCAGAGAGAAAGAGTTCTGGGAACCCTTTCCTAAACAAGAAACAAAGTGTGAGCCTCTACTCTTGTCCAAGAGAAGGGGGAGGAGTACTGACCAGGTGGTAGGAAAGCCTACCTACTCCTATTACATATAACACACACAACAACAACAACAAAAAGAAAAGAGGGAGAGGTAGTTGACAAAGTGTCCAGGCTGACACTAGGAGACATATATACTGAGGGGTAGGAATGGTATTTTATTTGTGCTTTACCCTTTTACTACAATAAGTTTTAACTTAATATAAGTCCCATTGTCCTATTTTAAAAAAAAAATTTTAAAAATATGGTTGTTTTAATAATTTAGTAAATGTTTGTAAATTTATGAATAAAAAATACTTTCATATTTATTTCTTTATAAATTGGTAAATGATAAATATTGCATTGTATCAGTTTTTAGAATGTTGTAAATATAAGGTTCTTGTAAATAAACACTCTAATAAATAAATAGTGTCTAATATTTCTGCTGTAAATTCTCAATAAAGAATGTAAAGGATTTGGATGGGTTTCTTATTTTATGATAATTACTGTCTTTTTTAATTTTTTTTTTTTTGTTGGCATGCAAAACCCATTTTTCATCACCTGTAAACATGAATGCAAAAATGAAAGCATTTGGCATTGTTGGCTAAAAGACTGTTGCAGATCCTGGAATGTTATGTTTGGTTCACCTGCAAAAACTCATGAGGAACCAAATTTCCTCTTTGCAAATTTTTAAAAATTTGCATGATATGTTTATGGATGACAAATTAAGTTTTTGCACAAAATTTATGATGCTTTGATGTGGACCCAATTCCATAGTCTCTTTCCAAAATTCTTCACTCAGAGTGAGTAGTCTTCTGAGAACTGTTGTTGGATATGTCATAACTGATATTTTAAAACCATTTAAATCACTGTTGACATGTATAAGCATTCACAGTATCTGTATATACTGCAAAGACATTTTTAAATACTTCTGTAGCAATGGTACTCTATTCATAAACAATGGCTAATATATTGCTTTTTTTAAAGTTATAATCCCCTGCAGGGGAGACATGGTGGACTGAGGGGAGACACAGTGGACTAATGGATAGCAGCTCAGATTGAGTAATCGAGAGCCAAGTCAAATTCCAGTCAAATCCATTACATTCACTTATGCACTAATAATACCCTTGGCAAAGGTATGAATCCTCTTCTTCTCCCCTCAACTATAAGCAAATAGCAGGACAGACTGAGTTCTATACCCTTGGATGGCAACTGGTCTACCACAGAAAGAAATGGCAACTTACTGTGGGAAAAAATGTCTGCCTTGTCAGTCATGTATTGAAAGATGCATGATTGCCTAAGCGTGTATCACACATGGCACATAACTGACTGAATCCTCTGCAAGATTAAACTCTGAAATGCACTATAAATACTACACTATTGAATAGAAGAGATGATAAACTAGTTGTAGATGCAGTTTCATAATTCATAGCAATAATATGTGAATTTACTCTCTAAACATTCTAATATATAAAAAATGACAGATTTCACTTACATGATGAGAAAGTCTCTGATTTATGCCTTGCAAGCTGCAATGAAAGACATATTTATATGGTAGATTGTATCCATCAGTGACAGCAACATCACCAGGTTTGATTCCATTGGGATATTTTGCATTAATTTCAGTTTGTATACCTTGTCCAGCAATGTTTAGTATTGTTTCTGATATTTGACCACCATAAGAAAGATGAAGGCTCTTGTCAGTGGAATTAACTATGATGTCTGCCTAGAAAAAGAAATTGAAAATTAAAATGAATAAATTAGTAGCAATGAAAGTAAGGTATTAAGCAGAGAAAGAATAACTTTAAGAAACTTCCTTACAAATATAAAAAGCTCTGCATTCATTAATATTGATATTTGACAGTAACCCAACAGTCAGTGACTTTTAAATCATTTCCTCCCCAGGAACAGGAATCAGAAATAAATTGTTATTATTGATTGAGAAAGCAGCATGCCAACAAAAGTGATGCTCAGGTACAAATATGCAAAACCTAATATACCAATCATGACAATCAGTATTTTCTTAGATTTTATGATGATTAAGTGATTCATTTTCTATAGACTATCAACCCTTTGCAGGTTATTTAAAGCCAAAAAATATTTGTAGATTGTAAGAATTTTTTAGAGATAATAATGATTTAGTGATAGCAGTCTTACTAATTAACCCATAGCTGGGAGAGAAGAGGTGTTCTCAAGAGTATTTGAGTATAAGTGAATATGACGAACCAAATTGGTATTGGAACTTGGCTATCCAATTTCCAGTTACAAGCTACTATCCATTACAGCACCTGGTATTCTAAAGCAGTCACTCATCTAGATACTGACCAGCCTCGACATTGCTTAATTTTGGTGATTATATGGGAAGTGGTGTTAACACCTCAAAACCAAAATTGCTTTCATCCAGTTATCACAGTGAACCTTTTCTTCCTGCCATCAGCATGGTTAATGCTAACCTCCAGGAGAGCAACTCCACATTTATCATGTTGCTCATGTTTCCTACAAACATGAAGTGCAGTGATTACATTGAATCAATTGCTAGGTTCTTAGCTGCTAGAAAAGTTGATTCACTGTGTCATATCAGAATATGTTTTGCACATTTATCAATCTTTCATTTGTCCATGTATTTAAAATTGCTGCTATATCTGGTCTATTGCTCCTACTATATATCTTGAGATTCTTGACAAAATTTAAAAAAGGGTCTGTAATGTTATCAATCCAGACCTGCCATCTCCATTTCAGTCACTTTCTAAGCAATATGATTTGCCTTCCTTATGACTTTTATACATATAGTTTCATGGCAATTGTTCTTATGAGCTTTCCTCCTTGCTGCCTTGTTTGCATGGATTTAAGCATGCTACTAGACTGGCAAGTAGGTCTCACTGCTTTATTGTTGAACTAGCTAGATGTAACCATATTTTGTATTCTAATAGTTTCTTTTCTGTGGAACTCCCTTCTAATTTCTTTGCTTCCCTCCCATCTACAATCTTCAAAAATTTAAATGCAATGTCAATCATCATCTTCCCTCTTCCTGAAACCTATTCTCTTATTGTCCTTTCTCCTTATTTAAGTCTTCGTGTTCTCTTCTACTCCTAGTAAGCCTATTTTTTCATTGTGGAATTATCACCTTGCTTGGAGTGAAATGATTAAAAAAAAAACAGATATCATCATAGTTACTACAATGAGTATTATTACTACTATTATGACTGCTACTGTTGTGACTATTACTTTTGAGTTGCTATTTGAACCAGGCATTTGCCAAGTCTTTCACCAGAAATGTAAAGTAAATGGAAACTTTTTTTGTTTGGAAGGTTTTGAACAAGTTAGATTGAAAAAATTTTTCAGCTCTTACTGACTTAAGAGAGCAACATGCCAAAAATATGAAGCTGGGGTACAAATATACAAAACCCAATATATACCCATCAACTCAGTGTGATTACCAGGCACATGCATTACAGTGAAATGTGTTCAATATGGTGCCATATTCTGGGACTCAGAAATAACTCAAATCATGTAACCTAGTACAACTGAGAGTGTTGCTACATATCTAGATGAGACTCTTAAGGCACATTGGCTGCTTCATCCTTTAAACTTAAAAAAAAAATCCTCTCAACACCTGGCCATTATACTTCTCTATTACTCCCACTCATGTTAGTCATAGGAAACCTGCATAAGTTCAGGTAACTGACAAGAAAGTGTTTGGTATTAAATGTGATATTTACTGTATCCCATTTTAAATCACCAAGACAAAACATGTACATGCTAACACCTCCAATTTGAAGGCATGAGAACCCTGACTGGTGTAGAATCGGAGCATTTATTAATATGATTTGGTCTTTGAGAGCATGAAATATTTCAAAGCACTTTTAAACATTCAATGATTTACAATCAGTCAGTGAAGTGCCATCTGTGATATACACTTGGGCAATCATGTCTCATTTAATTCATGACTGAAAGAGAAGAATATATGAACATAAAATGGTCTTGAAATTAAATCACACACTCAAAGCACTTGGATGCTACCAGAAACTTCATGATTACAATTTTGAACTGGAGAATGCCATTTCAATAATAAAAAAAGTTAATATAACAAACTTGGACTAATGGAAATGGTAGTATTAACCATTCCCTACAAGAAAACATTTGGCATTCAATGACCGAGCAGGCAGTACTGTTTTCAGTTGAAATTTATAAAATCTTTCTCTTCAAACTCTTTTTCGGGAAAAAGAGGTTTCTCAAATTCAGTAGCTTTTATCATTCTTTCCGGTATTAATGGGGATTTCCTTGCTAACTTTCTATTTGAAGTTGTATGGAATATTGACATCTTAATTATGTCATCATTTTCTCTTATAGTTATATGTGTTATCCATTTCACTTGTTGCTCAAGGGATGTGGTTTCTGTTATTTGGTACATCTACTTTGAGCACATGGATATGATTGCAATCAAGGGAAAGGTTGGTAGTCTGGGACATGAGACAGTTCAAACTAAAATGTTAGTGTACAATAAAATAATTGTTCCAGCTTGGTAGTGTAGTTTCAGTGAACTCGTTAAATATCAAACACATTCATGAGAGAAAACTGAAGCCCTCTGACAAGACCCTCATTATGTGGAAAAAGCAGAGATAAAACCACTGGGTGAAATGAAAAGAAGTATGCCATAAATTTTGTAATTGTTGAGGGATGACTTGCATCCACTCCTAGGCCAAAAATACACACAAAAAATGGCCCTGGTCAACATGAACAAGGAAGACTTCCAAATGGTGGCTAGATTCTCATAGGAAAAGGAGGTGAACACACAAAAATTGGATCCAGTTCTCCATGAATTTGAGGACATGTTTGAGGGGATGGTAGGCCAACTACCTGTTGTGGTACATTGGGAGGTGGACCCAAATATAACCCACATATTGCAGCAGCATGGATTCCAGAAGCTATCAAGGAAAAATTGAAATCAAATTTGGAGGGGCTAGTGGAAAAAGAGGTCATTAAACCAGTTAATGAACCAACAGCATGGGTCACTGCATTGGTACTGGAAAAATGGGAAGCTGCGGGTTTGTATCGACCCAAGGCCACTAAACAAGTTTCTGGGAAGGGAACATTTTCAGTTACTGGTGTTTGAAGATCTGTTACTTGAACTTCCTGACAATAAAGTGTTTTCAACCTTGGATCTGAGAGATGGACTTTGGCATCTGAAGCCTGATTAGGAAAGCAGTTGTTTGATTACATTCACCACTCCATTTGACTGGTATAGGGGGAAAGTGCTACCGTTTAGAATTACTCCAGAACCCAAAATCTTTCAGGTGGCAGTATATAACATCATCTCTGATTTGGAGGGAGTGTTAAACAAGGGGGATAATATTCTGGTGTTTGTGAGAGGAAAAATGACGGAAGAAGCCAGAGCTGACCATGACAAAAACCTCAAGGGATTCTTACAGAGATGCCAGGAATGGGGAATATACCTTAACCCCTACAAAGTGTATCTGAAACAAACCCCTGTGTCTTTCTTCAGACATATAATAACAAATGAAAGGTTATACCCTGATCCAAAGAAGATAAAGGCTATTAGGCTTGTCCAAAAGATGTAAAGGGAGGCCAACAGTTCAGATGATTTGCGAACTACCTTGCAAAATTCCTATCACATATATATGAGGTGATGTCTCCAATTCACCATCTTATGAAAACAGACATCCTATGGACTTGGTCTCAGGTGGATGAGGAAGATTCTGAGAAGGTAAAGAAGACAGTGAATGAAATAACTGTTCTGAGATACTATGACTACAACAGCCCTTACCAACATAGAAACAAAGTATGCACAGATTGAGAAGGAATCACTGTCAGTAGTCTACACATGTGAATACTTTCACTGATAGACATATGGCCAGCACATTACTGTTCTGAGCAACCACAGACCTCTTGAAGCCATAATGAAAAAGGACTCAGCAAAGTGGGCAAAGTCTCTGAAGAACATGTTGATGTTCCTGCAGCAATACAATGTCACAGTGTTATATCATCTGGGTAAAAGTATGTATATTGCAAACACACTTTCAAGGACCTACATCAATGGTGTCAGCTGTACAAATGAAGAAGATGATATCAAGGAAGCAGAGTAAATCCCTGTGACAGAAAGGAGGCCATCCACACAGGACTGCAACCAGAGATCAGTTGTAACAAGTCGGATGAAAAAATACACTCGAACCAGAAGCAAGGCATATTTCAATTTTTGGCATGAAATGACTGTATGGATGTGCTGATATTTCAAGGTAGCCATGTGGTAGTCCCTTTGAATCAATGAGTGGCTCTGAAGAACAGACTGCAGTCTTCCCATTTATGAGTGGAAGACTGATACTCAAGGCTGAACATGAACTGTGACATAAGAGAATACATTGCAAAATGCCTGACCTGTGAGAAATATGAAGTGGCAAATCCTGCAGAACCTCTGATGGTTTATGAAATTCTGGAGAGACCCTAGGCAAAAGTTGGAATGGACCTGTTCCTATTTGAAACACTCAATTATTTGAGCAATTTCTGGGAGATTGATCACTTTCACAGTACTGACACCAAGAGGGTGATCATAAAATTGAAGCACCATTTTCAAGATATGGTATCCCAGATCAAGTTGTCACAGACAATGGGCCTCAATTTTGGAGCCAGGAGTTGGCTGTTTTTATGAGGAAATGCTGTTTTACACATACCCCCATTAACCCTTACAACAGTAAAGCTAATGGTAAAGTGGAATTGGTGGTTAAGATGGTGAAGAATCTTTTCCGGAAAGTCAAAGCCACTCAAGCAAATCCTTATTTGGCAATGTTGAATCACTAAAACACATCCACAAAAGTTTTTCTGTACCCATTACAGAAGATTATGTCAATGAGGACAAAAACTTTTCTACCAATGACAAATGACCTGCTAAAACTAGAAATACCCAGAAATATAAAACAGTGTTTTTGTGTGCATGTTTTTTCTATTTTCAGGGTCTTTCAGTTACTCTTATGTATTTTTATTTCTTCATTATCTACTGATTTTATAGTGGCTTGGTATAAAAAAATAGAAAAAAAAACAAGAAAACACATTGTTTCCTGTCAGTTTGTATTTACATTAATGATAAATGAATGGTTGTACAAACTGTTAAAAATATATCAAAAATATATTTACTTACCTCAGTGAAATTTTCTAAATATGCCACTACTATTTTTGGAGGGCCTGTAAAAAAATAATTTAATAATCATTTGACTCTCATTTTATACTGAAGATAAAAAGAGATGTTGAAAATATCACTTGCATTTAATTTCCTTGATTTAGTTTCATCTTAACTGAAAAATTTTGTTATAAACAAAAAAAAAAGAGTACAGAACTGTTACGTATTTCTTCTCAAAAGGCAGAAAAATTACAGATAGAAAAAGTAAACGCTGTTTTAAAAACTATCAACAGCTTAATAACATAAAGGTTGCCAAATGTTACAATAATTCTGATTGATTTCTTCTAGCATTCTTGAAGCATTAAGAAAGTTAACAGACAAAATAGACACTTGTGTGTATATGTTGGGGGTTCCTGCAATTTTTAAACAGGATGAATGTCAAAGTTCACCCTGGATGCAATAAAAACTGTGGAGCAAGCTGCACAAGCAACTATAGCTGTGAGAGCCACAGTTGCTTGTGTATGTAGCCATTTGTCAGGGGAAAAGGCATTGATGTATGTTATCTTTCCATAAAGACAGTGTTTTAAGGAAAGCACATGACCCTTCTATAAGGACCTCCAATCAGATTCTGGGTTTAGACATATGGGTAAGAGTCAATATAAATTGGGAGGATAACCCATTAAATAAACAGTTCCCATACTCAGCAGGATTTTGGCAAACAAATTAATCTTGTTACTACAACCTGGCGGGGTTATGAAGTAGGGTAGTGAAAATTAAATCATACTGAATTTACTGAATTTCACTAGGTTTATTTCAGGTTCAAATCTTCTTGACGTGCTCCTCATAAGCATTTTGTAGGTTCTGTTTAATAATTCTCAACCAAACTTTCTCCCATCAGGTTTGAATCTCATCAACTAATCTTCCATACTTTTATTCACTTAGTATTTTTATTCCTTCACTCAGAATTCTTAATTCTCTCAGTACCTCAAATTGTTAAACATCATTTCATATTATTATATCAATTAGAGCCAACACCCTTTTACAATTAAAAGTTTAGGCTGCATCAATACACATATACAGCCTCTCCTACCTTAATGACAACTGTTTAACAGTCCCTTGGACTTAAAACTATACCCCCTCCTCCACACACACACACAAATAAAATAATATACCAGGCGATTCAGAATTTTTTTTTTATTTTGGTAATATTTTGATATTTTTTGCTGTTTTCACTTTCTTCAGGCTTATGGCCATATAACATTGAAACATTGGTTCTCATATGATCACCAAAGTTAAGCAACATTGAGCCTGGTCAATACCTAGATGGGTAACCACTTGGGAATGCCAGGTGCTGATAAGTTGGATGTAAAGACGGTGCAATGAATAATGGCTCAAAATTGTTACTCAGAGATCTGAGTTCGAATTTAAGTTAGGTTCATTATATTTACTAACATGCAAATACTCTTGCTACAGGTATGAATCCAGTTCATTTTCCATCAGCCATGGTTTAATTTGTAAGACTTGTATCACTAAATTATTATTATCTTAAAATCTAAAAATATTTTCTGGCTTTAAATAAACTGCAAATGGTTGATAAGAAAACAAATCAATCTCTTTCTTCAAAATGAATAAAATGAATAAAGTGAAAATAAATAAAAATTTACTTATACTATATTTCTAGTATACAAACAAAAATAATGTACAGAATATAGAGCTGATTTTCAAATTTGTTTATTACATTTACAATTCACTACAATGCTGTATCCAAACAAAAGTGGGGAAAAATGAGAACATGAAAAAGCATTTTTTTTTAATGACAGTGCATTTTGGCTTCATGTGCTAGGTTGGCATATTCAGGTCAGAATAAATTCATTTCAAACTGAAGATTCCATTCTAGCACTTTTCTCCACTACTGTACTGTATAAACATTTAGAAATGGTGAAAAAGTGACATTAAAGCTATCTAAAGCTCATTGACACAAACCCAATACATGTATAAATGCCTGAAATAGAAGTCAGGTACAAAGTCTCATTTTACAATCAGTTTCATTGAACGACCAGATCATCGGTTGTTAAGTGAAAAGTGTTGTAATTATGGTAGCTTAAATTTTTTCTTCTTTGTATGTTGCATATTTTTTTAATTTCAAATTTTTACTATAAACCATTAAATACAAATGATGGAATTTTGTACTGCTAAATGGTCAAAGAGTTTCAAATATAATCAATATAAGATAATTCCGTTTTGAAATAATAATAATGAATTATTGCTTTTAATTTAAATGATATTCAATAAATTATTGCTTTTACCTTCATGGATAACATGTGGTTCTGTCAGTGATGAAGTCTGAAAATTAAATAATATGCTTATTAGATAACAGTTTCAGTAAAAATATACACAAAATATGTACAGTAGAAGCATGGTGGAGTAAGGGATAGTGGCTCAAAATTGTGGAATTGGAGAGCTGAGCTCGAATTCCAGTTGAGTTTATTTTATCAACTTATATGCTAATAATCTTGGAAAAGGTATGAATCCATCTCTTCCCACCTCAGCTATGAGTAAATAACAAGATGGATTGGGCCCTATAGCCTTGGTTGGCAACCAGTCTAGAAGAAAGAAAACTCTGATTTCAAAATCACCTGTTGCCTTGTAAGGTCTTGTCTCTATTTTCTGAGAGGAGGAACAAGGTAATCTTAACACCCTCAGTGCAAAAGGAACCGGCAAGCCATTGCACTAGTCTACTATTCCATCATGATGAACACCATTGTGAGATGGAGGGGAGTCATGAGACTGCTTCAGGACGAAAATGTACTAACTGAATAAATGATGATGATGATGATGACACAAAATATGGGAAACAGAACATGGATTCATTAAATCACACACACACACATTAGGTATCTCCAGAAAAAATGTTAATGTTTTCACAAAAAATATTAATACAAAATTTAAAAAGTGAGTTTGTATGATGTATGGTATTTTCATGACAAACTTTAGAGCCAATTTCTATCAGAAATTTGGGAATGAGGAGTTTTCCTTAATCATATTATAAACATGCAGACTATTGTCCCTTTATTGTTATTGTTATTCACAACAACAAAGATGAGGATAATAGTCTGCATGCAAATAATTAACAGCCCAAATTTACATAGAAAAAACATTAATTAATTAAATTTGAATTAAATGTCTACAAAGTTAAAAATCTTCCTTTAATCTACAAAAATCAACAATGGCTGTTATCTGATTGATAGAAAATGCCATATTGTAAACAAATTGTGAAAAATCTATTAAAAAATAAAATTAATCATGACATTAAGACAATGTGAAATATATCTCACACTGTCAAAACATGAAAATAAACTAACAACAGCACCCCCCCCCCCATTCAAAATGGGTAAAGAAATGACTGATAGCACTTGGGACAACTGACGATATGGATAGTTTTTGTACTTACTCCCACCAAATAGAAAAATGTAAGAATGCTGGAGAAACTAAATAATTTGTTTTTTTTTGTCCATCATATTTAACAAAAGATATTTTAAAGGAAGGTTGCTGGCCAAATACATTATATATATATATATATATATATATATATATATATATATATATATATATATATATATATATATATATAAATATATATATATATATATATATATATATATATATATATATATATATATATATAAAACTTTTTTTACTATCGGTCGTCCATAACAGGGACGACGGTGATAGAAAAAAAAAAAAAAAAAAAAAAGTTCTTCCCGAAGATAAAAGATGAAAAACTTTTTGAGCACCAACCATAACAGTGGTAACGAAGACACGAATGTTACCTGTCAGCCAGAATGGAATAGAATTCTACGCAGGAAAATTTTTTTGTACCAAGGTTCCAGAACAACAGACGAAAAAAACCTGAAGTCTACATTTACACAAGTACACAATTCTAGCTACAAAGTACATATTGCGAAAAGAAAAAGTAAGGGGAAAAAGTGAGTTTTTTTTCCTCCTCTTCTCGTGACAACAGATAGCCTGTGTTATTATTAAATTACGGTGTAAACATGGAAGACTTTATGGAAACCATATTGGAACTAATGAAAATGCAATTCGAGCAGCAAAAAAAAAAAAAAAAATGAGGAAAGACAGACTAGGCTCGAAGAAAAACAATTAGAAGTTCAACAGAAAAACGAAGAAAAGCAACTCGAACTACAAGAATTACTACTACGGGCAGTAACAAATAAAGGACAAAATTCTGAAAATGAAGCGGAATTCTCGCAAAATGATATATGGAGCTCAATTAAAGACTTCACTTATGCACTGGACGAAGACAAAACCTGAAAATGAAGCGGCATTCTCGCAAAATGCTATATGGAGCTCAATCAAAGACTTCACTTATGCACTGGACGAAGATATGAAGATTCATATGAGTTTGATTGCGGGAATTGGTCAGACGCGGAAAAAGTACGGCTACTACTGAGGAAACTAGGGTCAAGCGAATAAACTAAATTCGTAGGCTAAATCCTACTGAGGAAAATGAATGAGTTGACTTTCAGGGAAGCCGTGAAACTTTTAACGGAATTATTTAGTTCGAACACTTCACTATTCCACAAAAGGTGGAAATGTTTAGATTTAACAAAAAGGATAGCGAAGACTATATAACATTCGCTTCCGTAGTAAACAAACACTGCGATGACTTTAAATTATCTGAACTCAGTCCTGACAATATTAAAAGTTTGATATTCGTCCAAGGCCTGGTTTCGACTAAAGATGCGGAGATCAGACGGAGAATTCTAACAAAACTCGGGAGTGAACCAAAACTGACGCTACAAAAATTAGCTGAGGACTGTCAGAGATGTATAAGCGTAAAAAAAGGACTCGAAAGATATCGAAGAGACTGGCATCGCTCACATACGAAAAATACAACGACAAACACGTTTTTCTCCCTCCTCAAAAACAAACCAAACCAATTATTCCATGTCAAGAATTTATTCCTAACATGCACAAATTACGCGCACCCCTAAACGAACTGTTGAAGAAGGAGAAAGTTTGGGAATGGTCATATGTATGTCAGAAAACTTTCGACAAAATCATTAAGACTCTAATCGCCGATTTATTTTTAGCGCATTATGATCCAAAATTGGAAATAATAGTCGCGAGTGACGCGAGTGCCTATGGTGTTGGGGCATGTATACTTCATAAAAAACGTTACTACCAGCCGAACAAAATTACTCGCAAATCGAATAAGAAGCGCTGGGGATTATTTTTGCGATTACAAGATTCCACAGATATATTTACGGTAGATTTTTCACCTTGCAGACGGACCACAAGCCGTTACTAACAATATTTGGATCAAAGAAAGGTCTACCTGTCTACACTGCTAATAGATTATTAAGATGGGTGACGATTTTATTAAATTATAATTTCAAATTGGAGTATCTTCCATCAAACAAAATCGGACATTCAGACGGTCTTTCGAGACTAATACCAAAGAAAACGGAGCCATTAGAAAATTCCGTAATTGTAGATCTACGATATGAGGAAGATATTAGAACATTATTATGTAGTACAATTCTAAACCTCCCAGTCACATTACAGGAAATAAGAAACGAAGCACTGAATGACGAATTTATAAAGGAAACGAAAACGAAAACGAAAATTGCAGAAAAAGATAAGCATATATCAGACAGTTTTTCATTATGGGATAATGTTCTGCTATATAATGAAAGAGTAGTAACCCCGAAAACGCTACAAAGGCGAATCCGCAAGGATTTTCACATGGGCCACCCAGGGAAGAACAGGATGAAATCCTTAATGCAAAGTTACGTGTTCTGGCCAAACATGGATCAAGATATTATACATATGGTGGACAAATGCAAGGACTGTTACTTAGCAGCCAAGGCACCTCCAATCATTCATAAGCCATGGCCTAAGACAGATCGACCGTGGTCGAGATTCCATGTAAATTTCGAAGGTCCATTAGAGGGTTTCTACTACTTGATTGTAGTAGACAGTTACAGCAAATGACCATAAGTATTTTGTTGTAGAAAACCTACTTCTGAGACGACAATAAATTGCCTTCACGAGCTGTTTGCTCGTTTCGGATTGGTTGATTGTTTAGTCACAGATAATGGGACACAATTTACATCTGCGGATTTTCAAGAATTTTGTGAAACTTTTCAAGTGAAACACATCAAATCTCGCCATATCACCCAAGGTCAAACGGGCAAGCGGAGAGATTTGTAGATACATTAAAAAGAGCACTAAGGAAAGCTTATAACATACCAACAGAAAAGGCTTTACAACAATTCTTGCAAGTGTATAGAATTACCAAACAGTACTACGCCATCGGCATTATCGCCGGCGGAAGTAATGTTGAAAAATTAGATCAGTATTCGACAAATTACTGCCAAAACAGACAAAGCAATCACCAACGTCGTTTGTACCAAAAAGAAAATTTAGCCCAGGGGAGAAAATTTTTTTTTAAATGTTCAAAAACAACACATCCTATTGGGAGCCATGTACAATATAGAAACGAATCGGGAACGTGATTTACATAATTCAGGGTCCGAAGTTCTCGCATAAAAGGCACTTAAATCAGTTCAGAAAGCGGCTGTTAGAGGATTCTAACGGTCTACCTCAGGAAGTAATGGACACAATATTTGACACATTCAATATGCAAAGGCCTCAAGCAATTTCAGAACCGCGGAAATCACGCAGAAAAAGAAAATTTACAGAGCCTTTGATGATTAATCCGAAGAGGGAAAATATTAAAGACCCCTGCGAGGTAAAAGCTTGGGAGTGGGGTGTCATGGGTCCTTTGCCTATAACTACAGAATGAACTCTTCCTAGCACTATGTATACTACGCCTCTCAAGAGAGAGGGACGAATCGAGTCGAGCCGATAGTAGTTCACTCCAAACCAGACTGACAGTCATACTAACACCTTCCATATCTTGTATTATTATTTCGTGTAATACACCTTCGTTATTTCTACTCTTGTGTTCGTGTTGTTCTTCGTTGGTTCTAACCTGGACCATAACAATTACCCATCTAAAAATAGCTACAAATTGGATTTTACCTTAGTAATTCACAGTATTAAAATATTACTATTAGTAAACATTTATATTTTTTATTATTGTTGTTTATTAATATAGTATTCAACTAATTTTAAATCCCTAATTTATTTGTAGAGATTTTGAATATTTAAATTGCTAACAAGCATTAACTTAATTTCTTTGTGGAGTTTTTAAAATTTTTAAACATTTAAATTAATATCAAACGTTAAAATCTCTTTTTATCTAATTTTCTAAAGCTATACCACCCCTCTTCTTCCTCTGAACACCCTAAGTACATCTCTTTTCTCTTTACTTCCCCCTTTTTTCTTTTTCTTTTTCTCCTTCCCTTTCCACATATCTTCCCCCGAAAACCCTAAGTAGATCTCTTTTTTCTTTACTTCCCCCTTTTTTCTTTTTCTCCTTCCCTTTCCACGTATCATTTCCGTTGAGTTGACCAATTAAATAGGTCAATGTCTGATCCGTACCCCCTCCTTACTCCATATTAAGTATTGTAATAGAAAGAAATATAAAAATAAATTTTAAAATTCTCCCTTCCCTCTCTAAACTCGACCATGTCTCTCAAACCATTACTTAATCTCACACCATTGCTTAATACTGCCCGTCAAAAGTGTAAATTTTAATTTCATTTTTTGTTTCACCTTTTGATGTCTGATGCACCGGAGAGAAGTAAAAGTCTCTGGTGGAATAAATTATTACATGGAGCCTTAAAGTGGTCTGTTTTTCTTTTTTTATATTATATATATATATATATATATATATATATATATATATATATATAATATGTGTGTGTGTGTGTGTGTGTATGAAAGTTTCTTTAAATATGACAGACAAGGTGCTTTGATTAAGCGTTTTATATAATTTCTCATGTGATCTTATATATTCTTCTTTTCAGTAGATAAATTATATAACTGTTCAAGTGTTATATTTTTTGAGTGCTTTCAGCTATAAATTTAGCCATTTTCAAGGATGAAATATATTAACTGTTAACTAGATTGTTGTAAGTATGCATTTATATAAAGTTTTATTTTCAAAACACAGTCAACATATTGCATCACAGTTGATATTATTGAGTGTTGGTTTTTATTTCTATTAATAATGCTTTTCTTTTCATGGAACTGGTTTTTTGAAACCTATTGAAAAGACCCTCAGGAGCGAGCAATACAAGAGAATTTTAGAGTCTGCTTCCTTCTGCTGAAAGGGTGCAAATCGGCCCCACCAATCTCATTTTTATGCAGGATAATGCTTCTTGTCACAAATCAAAATTTATGAAGGAATACTTTGATGAGAAGCAGGTGAGTGTTATGACATGGCCGCCCCAATCTCTTGACCTCAACCCCATAGAAAACTTATGGAGCATTATAAAGTAGAGGCTCTCAAGAAAGCAGTTGAGCAACAAAGAGGATTTGATTGTGAATTTCATATCCGAATGGAAATCAATGCTTGGAGATGAGATTTTGCCAGAAACTAAATAAAATTGAATTGCAGTGTGTGTAGGGAACACAATGAAAAGGTCAAGGTCGAAGTGTCTGCCTAGGTCAAGTGTATAGTGTAGCCAAGGGCTACGATAAACCCCGGCTAATGTCATCGAATCAGAACACTAAAAAAAAAAAAAAAGAAAGAGGTTCAGCTCCTGAGAAAACGATCAACCTGTTTATCAAATTTATTGATTTTAAAACACTTCCAAATATATATGCATATATATATTTCTGACACTTGAGTAAAATTAGAAAATTAAACATATTTCTGTCATTTGAGTAAAATTAGAAAATTAAAACTATTAATCTTATTTGAAATAAATATTACTGATAGCATAAAAAATTAATATACAACTATTTGTTATTGATCGGCTGTGATTATCTGAAGCAATGTTTGATGCTTGATTGAGTGATGAAGCGATGACAGCTATTACGGTTGACCCGAACTGATATAAAATTTACAAAATCTACGTGGATGCATCTTTTGAGGTTTTTAACTACCTAGTAATTTTTACAAATGAACATAATTTCCACAATTATCTAATAATTTATTGATTTTTATTTACCTTTCGAGGATGCTTTATGTAAAAATAAAAAATATTAAAATACTATAAAATTTTCTTAAATTAATTTCTCTCTAAAGAGACAAAACTCTTAGATCACGTGACCTTTTCATAATAATGTCACGTTTAGCCTTTTATAGATGGAAAAGGGAACAAATTAAGTTAAAAAAAATATAAAATGAAAAATCATTTTAAAAATGGAATAGTGTAACTATGTTTATTAATCTTTTCAATTTTGGATTTGTAAATTTCGTTTCCACTTAATTACTATATCACATCCAGGAAATAGCCCAATACAAAATTTTACACGATTTTAAACTATTGTAAATTATTATAATTAAAATTTTTAAAAACTTTAAAAAATTCTTTGAAAAATTCCTTATTCATCGGAAATTTTTTATTTCTTCAAGCAATCAAGTCCTTAACATAACTTATTTACAAAAGCAATTAAAAGCTTTTCTAATTAAATAATGTCATAGTTTTATTGCATTATTTTTCAATTCAGAGCAAATTTTCAGTTAGAATAGTGCAGGTTTGAAAAAAAATTAGGTGATTTAGATTCTCCAAGGAGTACTACTTTTAACGAATCAAAAAATTCAGGAAATAGAAAGTTTTTTCACAAAATTTCATTAAATTAAGTAAGTGTGTGCGTGTGTGTGTGTGTGTGTGGGGGGTAACATATGTGTAACGGACCGGGGGTTTACGTGTTGTTAAATTAGGAACACGTGCGTTTATTCCTGCTAGAAGAAGGTCCACTACAAGAACATGGTGGACTCAAGTTGATTGCAACTGAAGATGTAAAGAAAACCAACAAGACCGTATATATATATATATATATCAACAAATATATTTATTAAATGACAAAATTTACAATAGACATAGACATTAAAATTTGTGTTTGTGTGTGAACATAAATAGTTTGTATTTTGGTGAATGTTCGTACGTACATGTATGTGTGTGTGTGTGTTTCATGGCGTTTTCCCACAAGTGGGCAAAACGCAGGTCTCTGCGAGAGATCACATTTTTAAATGTGTCCATTGAAATGCAAAGTAAAAAGAGAACGAGGCAATAAATCGCCCAGTATTTATAGTGTAGGGAGAGCGGCCCCTAGTGAACAATTTGGACAATTAAGGAGGAGTTAACGCCGACATACGTAAAAAAAATTTTTTACGAAAATTTTCAAAAAAAAAAAACTCAAAAATAATTTCATTCATTTGTGAATGCCTTGAAAATTTTATTAAAATCGGACAATTATTTGATTTTTAATAGAATTTCCAAATCAATGTGTTTTCAACGGAAAAAAGTGCAAAAAAGTCAATGTAATTATTATGCCACCCCGATGACGTAAACAAAATATGATTTTAACAAAAATTTAGAACGTGTTAGAAAGGATTAAAAATTTTTTTAAAAATAATGAAAAAATACTTTGGTATTTCATCTTAATAATAACGTAAAAATTTTGACAATAATACTTTATTTTTATTAAGTTTGTGGCCTTTTTCATTACGCTATGTCCCTTTTAGCACGTTAAAAACGTATACCTGAGATGAAAAAGCTCAGAAAATTGATAAAACAATTTTTTTATGTCTAAATGTTTAAGTTATTGTTAAGAGGAAAGACTAAAGTATTTTTGAATATTTTTTCAGATTTTTAATCCTTCATAGCCTGTAAAAAATTGATTCAAATATCTTGTTTTTATTAGTCAATTAAATTTACTAGAAAATCGGTCCGATCAGCCATTTTCAGAAATTAAAAAAAATTCAAAACCAATTATTGTAAAATATTTAAAAAAATTAAGTATCAATTTTTCAGACGTTTTTTTAGGATAATTAGAAAATTTAATGCTTACTTAATGTAATTTGAAAGAACAGTTACTTACATTTCTCGCAGAAAAATTTTTAAGAGAGATATCTCCAACCGTGGTAACCGGTTTTGGCGAGTGTGAATTGATGGATGTCAATGTATTGACAGCTTACCTCAGACTAATTTATCGTACGGTAGAACGGAAGTAACAAAATTCGCGCCAATTTTTAGCGCGCCGGGATAGTGTTAATTGATATTATTACACTTTAAAAATTTTCATTGTCTGAAATTAAAAAATTAATTTTTTTCTTTTAATCCCTACAATTGATAAGTTCTGGAATAATAAAAAAAAAAAGAAATAAAGTAACAGTTACTTTATTTCTTTTTTTTTTTTTCTTAGAAACCTAGCCGTTACGTCATATTTTTTCAGTTACGTAACACAAGTTTTCAACTTCTGATCTTCCGTAGATACAAATTAACTAACAATATACTATTACATTTCAAAATGAAACCCGTAACTCATTTTTGAAGAGATTTACTTTTCCTGGTTATTTAAAAAAAAAAAAAAAAAAAAATACACATTTAAAAACCCCACGTTTGAAAAAATAATTTTGAAATAAAAACAACATTTATAATTTGAAAATTTTATACACGTTTTTTTTTTATTTTTTTAATACATTTGACGAATGAATTGCTATGCAATCGATTTGAGACTTTTTTGCGAAAATTTGGTGGCCCTTGATAAGACTTTTTGCGAAAATTTGGTGGCACTTGATAAGACTTTGGCGAAAATTTCGTGGCACTTGATAAGACTTTGTTTAATTTAAAAAGGATTGGTATTTTGTTTCTTTTCATCTATTTGCCCATAGTTGGGACCCTAACAGGTGCTAGCACTCCGGGTAAGTGGACCTGGGAACAACAGCAACTAAGAGGTGGTTCCACACTCCTCAAGACCTGTAACCTAACGCTTGGAATCATTGCTGCCGGTTGTAGTTTATTGTCATACCCAGGACTGGTTATCATTGTCTTTTTTGTTTTGTTTTTTATTTAAAATTTCAAGTCCCGCATAATATAGTCAGCTCCAAATTCATATTTATCTAACAAATACTCTTCATCTTCATGGATTTCATTCGTATAATAAATTAGGGTCTGAAAAAACTTACAAAAAAACCTTGAAATGTCTTATCAACCAAATCAACTGTCCAAGTATGCTCTATCAGTTTGTTGACTACATCACCACCCAATATTTTTTTGAATATTTTCAGCAAAATCAATTGAAATTAGTGGAAACTTTTCCATAATAGCCAAAATGCTATAGCTCTGAATCTTCTTCAATTTTCTCTGGTTGCTGTTTCTTTCTGACTTTTGATGTTGCTGTTGCTTTTTTATTCTTCCTGTCAGCAATTTATGCCTCTAAGATGTCTTGATTTTGCTTGCGTTGGTCAACCAGTTTCCTACTGAATATCATTGCTTTTTTTTTATTCAAGTGACTTTCAAATGTCTCAGCGTTCATCTCATCTATGAATTCCTTTGTGTTGTTTCAGAGCTAAAATTGGGGTTCACGCGTATGAAAAATTTTGAAAATTATGATTTATATTCCTCAAAGTCTTCTTTATTTAATTAAAAAAATAAAATTAGTTACAGCCATTCTAGTTTTAAAGTTTTCATAAACTTAAGTAAGATGGGTATTAAGCGTAAAAAATATAGTTTTACTGTGATCTTCTAAAAGACAAACTTTTCTACAATAAATTCAGTCATTTCGGAATAAGTTCTGAAAATTTCACTAAATTGCGACAATTATTTGATTTTTACAATAATTTTCAAGTTCATGTGTCTTTTAAGTGAAAAAACGCTATTGCAAAATATCAGGTGATCTTCTTAGACCTAAAAAAAGGAGATTTTTCAGCTACAAATTAAAACGTGCTAAAAAGGAAAACAAGATTCAAGAAATAATTAAAAAATACTTTGGTCTCTACTCTTATTAATAACATAAAGTTTTTCGTGATAAGACGTTGTTTTTATTAAGTTTGGATGCCTTTTTCATCAGGGTGTGCCACTTTTTTAGCGAAAAAACGGACAAACCGTTTCTCTACCCAAAGAGAATCCATCCCTAAATTTAAAATAATAAAAAAAATAATATTTGCAATATGTCTCTCACTAAAAAAGAAGAAATTGATTATATATAAAAACAAAATTAGAAGAAAAGTTTTGTTAACAAAATTAGAAAAAGTTTGTTGACAATACAACGATAATACAATAGTCACTCAGAAAATTTGACACGTGCGCTCAGAACGAAAGCTATGCCAAAAAAGACTGATAGGTTCAATCAATCAGGGGGTATAACTCTAGCATAATTTTCATTTATCTTAAGTGGACATCCGTAGTTTTGTCGGAGATGATTTTAATACATTTTTGAAATCATAAAAATTATTTTAAAATATCGCGCGTATATCAGATTGTTACAAACTTTGTAATTTATAATCTATAAAAATAGATCGTTTTAATGAGCAAAAAAAACGAGGTACAGGCGATCTAATTTATTTATGAAATATTTATCAATATTATTATTTACTATTTAGAAATGAAAAAAAAAAAGAAAACAATTCTCGTAAAAATTTATTTTTCAACGTAAAAAAAATTTGACTTCAGACAAAAAAGTTCTTAATATGTGTTACTGATAAAATCCATTAAAAGCTGTTTTCATAGAATAATCTCTTAGTTTTCTTGCATTTCTATTTTGTAAATTCAGAGCTAAAATTGAGGTTCACGCGTATGAAAAATGTATACGAAAATTTATGATTTATATTCCTCAAAGTCTTCTTTATTTAATAAAAAAATAAAATTAGTTACGGCCCATCTAGTTTTACAGTTTTCATAAACTTAAGTAAGGTGGGTAGTAAGCGAAAAAAAAAAATAGTTGTACTGTGGTTTTCTAAAAGACAAACTTTTCTACAATAAATTCAGTCATTTCGAAATAAGTCTTGAAAATTTCACTAAATTGCGACAATTATTTGATTTTTAAAAGAATTTCCAAGTTTATGTGTCTTTTAAGTGAAAAAACGCTATTGCAAAATATCTGGTGATCTTAGACCTAAAAAAAGGTGATTTTTCAGCTACAAATAAAAAACGTGCTAAAAAGGAAAAAAAATTAAAAAATAATTAAAAAATACTTTTGGTCTCTACTCTTATTAATAACATAAAGTTTTTCGTGATAAAACGTTGTTTTTATTAAGTTTTAAATGTTTTTTTCATCAGGGTGTGCCACTTTTTTAGCGATATTTGGGACATTAAATATTATGCTGTTTTCTCGCTAAAAAGTGGAGGTACATGGCTACTATTCAAGCGAGTACTATCGAGCAAGTAACGTGAGTTTTATTTGAAGGCGTCTGACACCAGTATTGTTCAACGGTGTTATTATAGTTATATCTGCGATTACAATGTCTCCACTACAACGAGCATTACGAAAGTGACAACGAGTATTCGTTGACATTACAAAAGTATCAAGCGAGTGTTCGTTGACCTCACAAAACAATTCATTGATAAAATTAATGTTTACTACTGTTTGCGATGTGATAGATAAAATTAGTAAAGAAAGATAAAAATAAAAAATAACTTACTTGTTGGCCCATTTTTGTCTCACAAGGAAAAATAACAATAATACTGTATTTCAAACGAATAATATTTTCAAAATAAGACTAAAATAAATAATTGTAAATGTGTTTAAATGGCTTATTTATTAGGAGAGTACTTTTTCCCCAGTTTGTTTTTTCTTTATTTATCTGCGAACAGGTGAAATTTGAAATACAAAGAAAGTCGATAGAAAATTCTTTTAAATTCGTGTGTATTTCTGTTTCACTTTTGAAAATGAAAGTGAATTAAGAAAGAAAGAAAATGTTTTTCTTTGAAATATAAAGTCGATACGGTTTTGATGTCTTTTATTTATTTATTAATTTAATTAATAGTTACTGCCACGAACTTTGTAATAAAAAGTTTGTAGATATGTTCAATAATTCACCAAAAAAAAAAACAACAAAACAATACAACAACAAAAAAAAACAAAAAAAAAACAGCATATGAAAAAAGGCCCCAAACTTAATAAAAACAAAGTTTTATCGTGAAAAAGTTTAAGAGGAAAGACGAAAGTATTTTTTAATTATTTAAATTTTTTTTTTTATTCCTTTCTAGCACGTTTGAAAATCTTTTTTTTTGGTAAATAACACCCGAGTGCTAATATCCCTTCAAATTTTTCCAAAAAGTCTTAATTCCGTGCAAATGTATATGCTTAACTCAAATCAACAATTAGATATTGAAGAAACCTACCTTTTTGGATGTTAACGACCAAAAATAATTGGACTTCTTCTCGCTCTTTTCTTGTCATGAACATTTACGGTCTTATTGAGAGACATTCGCTAATTTATTAAGTTTGAACTTTGAAAATGTCTGAAGGAATGCATTTTACTTATACAAATTTAATCGACAATTAAAAAATAACAAAAACTTTCAAATACTCCCTCAAATCACTTATAAAATTAATAAAAAATATTGTAAAAGCTTTTTTTTTTTTTTAAAAAACAAATCAATTTAAGTTGGAGTTTTAACTTTCAAATGTCTGAAAAATAATATATTATAATTTTACTTTTAATTTTTTAAGTTTAAGAAAAGTTAATTTGTTTTCAAATTTCACCATTTTAAAATATCACTGTAAACAATTAAAAGAATAACAAAATTCTTTTCAATCAAATATATGAAAATATCGATGAAAATACTTATAAATTATAAATAAAAAAAAAGAACAAAATGTCGATTTCTTTAGGACATTCTCCTGCATTTTTTAATATTACAGCGCCAATTCATTGAACAATTTTAAAAACAAATGCAATATAGATGTCTATAATGTTACAAAAAAATTTTGGATACAGTCTTTTTTCCATCTCTCAGGAAAAATGTTTTTTTAGAAGGCGATTGACTATTTAGGTAGGGGACTTATTTAAATGTGAACAGCTAAAAAACAAAGGCAAAGGTTTTTTGGAACAATGTATTATTGTTTTAAATTCAAAGTTCTGTGTCCTAATATTTTTAATTACATAGCTGGTTTTAGTCGTTTCCATAGTCTTTCAACCGTCAGCGTGTGGATAGTTTGATCTGTTGGATCTACAA